CTGCAAAAATACATCACATCTACTTGCGCGAGCACACGTGATTGTGCAAATGATCACGCAATTCCGGGCTGCACAAGCATACAATGGTGCTAACACACTGCACGGATGAGAAATAAAGCCCTCAGCCGTTCCCTGAGGATAGTCTCTTAGGGTTTTGGTGCTAATTTAGGCATCTGGCTCTGTCTGGGCCTGAGCATCTTTCTCAGCTTATTACCCTCCACTGTCTCTAGCACTCCATCCGTGCAGACAATGGTGGGAAACGGGGGACCGCGGACCCACGTCAAGTACTCGCCGTACAATGCTGCCATTGTAGAAGAGGAGAGGGGTCTGGAATAATAATGTGGGCACTATCAAACTGTTTACCAACACAGAGCCTACAGCTGAAGATTAACTCTTTATTTATCGCAAATCATCATTTGTGGTATTGCTATTGATGCTTGAATATGTGTAAAAAAAAAAAGAAAAAGAAAAAAAGTCTCAAAACAGACTGACTTTCTTGACACACACACACAAATAAAACACATTTATCATCATGTACACAGATGCAAATGACCTTGTGTTAAAGTGATTATTGTGCCAGACACCTAGGGAGACATTTCAAGGATTTGCCCTTTTCAGTCCATGGGAAAAAATATATAATCAGAGTCATACCTAAAAATCCTCATATGCCACATCCATCAAGCACTTTAAGCTGGACCGCTACTACAGACAGTAATCCAAATATGACAGGGAATAGGATTTTTTTTTTTTCATTTGAATTAGAATTTCTTGAAATAATTCCATTTGTGCATATATACTTATATCCAGTGAACATTTGGACTGGAATTGTTTCACAGCAATATAGTGCAATTGTTGCTTGCTTGATGCAAAAAGAAAAAAAAAACATTTAATTTTTACCCATGCGTGTTTCCGGACTCAAATATTTGCGTGCGCATTCTGTTTGACTGAAAACACAAAGACCTGGTAAACCACAAAAACAATACACAGTTCAGAGCGTGATTTGCATATTGAAAACTGGAAAAATCTGGTATGGGTTTGGCACCGTGCCAAGCGGCATAATTAACACTTTTCAGCCACTGCTCTGCAGCAGTCACATTATGCTCTGACAAGCATCCACTCCCCCTGCTCGACCGCTTATACTCACACAACCAACACACCAAATGCAAACCTGAACATTTATTCTTGCTTCATATATTCGTAAACACAAATTTGCTGTTAAACCATCTCCAGTTCTGATAGTGTTATTTGTCACCTATGGAAAATGCCATGTTGTTGTGTAACAGTATTGCATTAGACTCTCTGTTCAAGAGTATAAAATGAGTTTTGTGTCCCTATCTGAGATTTTTAAGCACTGAAGGTCTTTTACATAAAACCCTGAGAGATGCAGAGGGAGGAAACCCCTCCCCCTCGCTGCGAGATACACAGCCTAATTAGAAATTCCATATTAAAGGTGCAGACTCTCATTTCCATGCTACTATTTTGTCTAAGGATGAGTTTAAAATATATAGAAATGGAGACTCTTAGTTTTGCATTGTCTCAACCCCCCCTGCATGTAGATGGAGATAACTATTTCCATATATTAATAACACCTACTGACACAAATGGGCTGTGTTAAATCTTAAATCTCTAGCTTTGTGTTGATGAACCAGTTCACTGTGTATAATCTTAATTTTTTTTTTTTTTGCCTGTTTAGAAATCCTAAAACCTATGAGTATTTCTTTTAAAAAAGGACAGAAATGGTTCTTGTCTCTCACATGCAAAATGGAGAAAGCAAATACTCCTTCTTAAACATTGCAAAAATAGTGTTTGCATCCAGAATAGACAGATTTTTGCACTGCACATTTGAGTGTATATTCATCCCTGGAAATTTCTAGAATGCATGTAAACACCATAGTTCTCTGCAAGAAAAAAAAAAAACATTTCTAAACGCAGATAGAACACGAGCACAACAATAGCATCAAAGTATTTTTTTGTCTTTGCTGTGAAATGCAACAATTTGAATTCAAATTTGAATCTAAACATTCAAAATATAAAGCATTGCCACGTGCCGTTTCTAAAGCGCCACTGTGCCTTTAATTGGGGGCTCAGTCCTCTCTGCTTGTTCCTATGCAATTATGTTAATATGCAGAGCTTGTCTGGTCTTTTTCATTAACAGAGGCGCTTGCATCATTGTTTCCTTTATTTGTAAGCTCCACGGGCACCTTCCGTACATCAGTGATCTTTTTTACACGTCTTTTTTGATGGGCTATTCTGCCAAGCCTCCTCTTTTTAGGATAAAATGTCAGTCTTTTTTTTTTTTTTTTTTTCATTTATGGACAACGAGGTCTTTTAGGCACACAGGGTTTCCACGCTCAGTAAGTATGCAAAAACGGTTTTCTGTTATTACGAGGAGGATTCAATGGCTTTAAATATTCAGTAGATGACGCATCATTTGTCTCATCTTCGCATCTCAATACATTTCAATGTATTTTGGATATTTGCGTTTTATTCATCTGTGTCGTTTTGGTTAAAGCACAAGAAGCAAAGCAAATCTGTCTTCCTAGAGCAAATGTGTTTCAGAATGCCTGTGTTCCACCTACTTTCATAATTTTCTGCAATAAACACACCAGCACAGCTCTGCGTATCACCAGCAATCCATTATGACGCAACCATTCACCTTTGTGAGGAACGTTTCAGTGTCTTCCATCCATTTCAATGACATAACACGCAGCTCTCTGTAACCAAGCGGCCTGCGTAAATTTCTGTTTACCACGTAACATCCAAGTGAACCGAGAGAGCAATGTGATGTTTTGCACCTCTCACTTTCTGACCAGCTAATGATACAAACTGTGGCTATTTTGCGAGGCACCGAATATCATTAAAAACAGCACAGTGTGAATCGGTAGACCTCTTCTCGAACATTAAAGTCGGGCAGGGCAGCGTACATGCTTTTTGTAATGTGTTGAGGGGTACTTGGCACCTTTGTGCCAGCAATTTAGTGTATCATTAAGCAGCAGAAACAAAAGTGCTCTTCAGTCCAGGTCGACTCGGTTGCATTGGTCAAGAGGATGCAGTATGTCAATTAGCTTAGTCTCTCGAGTGAGTTTGCGCAGCTCTCGCTTTTTTGGTTTCATCTGAAAATCTGGTCACCTGGTCATTTTTTGTGTCATCGTTGAACTGGCATGGCTCAGGATTTAGTTGCACGAATTTGTCCTTTGCAAACGCATAACACGACCTCCAGTTAATTAACGGGGTGAGTGCGTGAATTAATAGCTACGTCCCATTTGAAAATATGTATACAGAAGCACGAGGGCTTCATTTGCGTTCAAAACTCGCTACATTTCAGCACGAGTGTGTGCATTTAGGTAACGGGGCTAATTAGTCAGGAAAGATGAGAGTGTGATAGTCTTTTTAAGGAAAATGATTTGGGGCGACAGGGCCTAATCTTACGCTCAGAACAAACCACGAAACACATTCAATCTTTTTTAGAGACAAATTCGTGTAAGCATTTGCCCCATTCGTTTGCTTAACATTTCAAATTCCCTTGCAATACAACCGGTCGAGCTGAAAGCAGCCGCAATAACGCGGCAGCTAGTCTGATATAGGCTAACGATGTAGCTTACCTCATGCCAACACAGCCATTTTAGGAAGCAGCAGCCAGTTTCTCCATCAAGATGGCTTCCTGAAAGCACACCCCTCATTCAGACTTGCAGTCTTCCAGCATCTGGTGGTCCGTGGCAACTGGCAGCCTCTTTGTCCCCGTTGGCACTTGGGATGTAGGCTCTCACTCCTTTCTTTTTTCCCTCTTTTCTCCGGGGGCACAGATGGCACTAAATGCTTCCGTTGAAGAAGAAGGGAGGGGAGCTGGTTGAAGAAGGATGAGGGTTGACTATTATTTTTCTTTTCTTTCATTTGGACAATTGCACCATTTTTTCCCTCTCTCTCTCTCTTGCTCCAAAAAGGCAGTGTAAATGGCTGGCAAGGGGAAACAAGAAAATAAAGGACAAAAAGGCCCTTTTTAGCACTGCCAAAGCAGATGTCATGGCTACTACTATATATCATTTCTTTGGATTATATAAGGGGGAACATGTCGTGCTAAGCAACTTTACCAGGGACAGACAATCCCCTATTAGGAATGTTAATAGTTGTGCATTAGCACTACACGAATCGTGCAAAGGCACGCACGTCCGGCTTTTGTGTTATCATAGCTGTGCGATTGCCAATGCTGGTCACTGTGAAGGTATACTGAATCAGCCCACATCAATTACTGTCCACCCATAATTTCATTGAATAACCCTTATTCAATTGTGCTAGGTAACCAGTTTAGCTGGAAAAGATCATTGTTAATGAATGATGACAGAATTTCTTTGCTCACATTAATTTTACATAAAGTAATATGCGATGTGATAGTGGCCCATACATTCTTATCATTATCGAGATGGAGACGGACACATAATTTCCTCTCTCTGATCATTCATCGCATTGAAGCCTTTGGCCTAATGTCCTGCAGTCATACTAACCACGTATTCTCAGTCGTGGTAAAACACATTGCGATTTAGATTTATTTTCGTTCTTTTTCACACGGGTCAAGCCTTTGAGGGATTTTTCTTGAGATAATTATGCGCTTTGTGTTTTTTTTTCCTGTTATGATTAACAGCTATAGCGAGCCCTTTCCTTATTAATTTGCTAATATGTGTGTGAACTGCACAACGTCTGCCTGAAACGATTTGAAAGGCACACATATGCCATACATCATAATGCAACATTAATATATAGAATAATTAAGAGAGCCTTTTGGATTATGACCTGCACTTTTACTGTAAAGAATTTATTGGTGGCTAGCACAAATGTGAAACTGATATTAGTGTTTTTAAAGGCTAAATATCTATAACTGACATTTATATACGTATGCAATTTGTCAAAGAATGCCTGAGGATCGTTGGGGCTTTGATGAGTGCACATTTGAGAGGGAAAAAACTCGAGTATGCATAAATGTAGAACATGAATATGCATGTATAAATAGATATATAGATTTTCTGATGAAAGATTCATGTAATGCATTTAGTGTCTTGGACTTGATTAAGGATTACTATTTGCATTTGGCTCCTTTCAAGTGCATGCATTCATTAGCATATACTTTATGATGTACTGTGTGTTTGAATCAGATTTACTATACAACTAATTGTTCTAATTGCAATGTTGCATTGTAATACGCTTTGATTGCACTTACCAGATGGCGTTTTTCCCTTAGCTCCAGTCCTCTGGTCTCTCACAAAGACACTGCAGTTTGAGAGGCTACACTAAGTTGGAGTAAAAGAAATTAAGATGAGACAATAATCAGAATATTTCAGTTTTACATATAAACACACATACATTTTTATTCATTAATTATTATATATAATTTACAAACAAATAAATGCCAGACAACCTTGAATTTAAAATTTGACCTATGGCCTAATATGCACCTTAAATCACACTTGGCATGTGAAACAATTTTTGGGGGGCAAATATAGAGAATGTAAATCTGCCTAGTCAGCTCATTAAACTTTTTTTTTTTTTTTTTGCTCATTATTTCTTTGTGAGTTCTTACAATTTTACATCTTTTGGGTTTTTTTTCTTTAGGATGTGATTATCAAGATTTTTGTTCAATTTTTTTTTCATTCAGTTTAATTGGCACTCTGATAGTGTTTACACATCATATTTTCTAGCCTTAGAAACCTTTCTGTCTGTTTCTGAAAATAGAAATATGCATCTTGTGTATTTAGTATTATCCTTAGAGCAGTGAAACAATGACTTTCAGGCCAGGAAATCCAGTCCAAATCAGGTTCAAATTTCCTACATTTTAGTACACACGCCATTGGATTTAAAAAAAAGTATGTATTTTCAATTTGATATTGAGTCAGGATTTTCATTTTGTCGGTATAGTTGTCTATAAAGTAGATTGTTGTCTCACTATAACACATATTTTACTCAGACTTTTTTATTTAATGATAAAGTATTTTTTAATATAGGCTATGGTTTACTAAAAAGCATTGTAACTCACAGACACGGTGTGTGTGTGTGTGTGTGTGTGTTGCTCTGCGTGACGCGGAGCTCCAAAAGCGCTCACACTTCTTATGATTTTAAACTCATAAAAAAAGTCATAAAAAAAGGACACGGGGATTAAAAAAAATCCATTCTGCATTATTTTCCGCTGCATCTTTGACGTGTAGGCCTACAGCCAGATTAATATGGCCAATCATAATTAAGCTGCTTCAGCATGATGTCATTGCTTAAGAGTTGTGTTGTGGGTCAATGACGTCACGTTCATTTTTTGTTTGTTACCCAGATCGAAGTTGTTCAAGGCTGCAATAAAATTCAATTCATACAAAAATGACTTGAATGGCCTACGTCTCTTTCATAATTAACAAGGTTTTCATTAAAAAAAAAAATGTTTTGGGGGGCAAAAATGTCTAGCAAGTGTCTATAAAAAAAGAAAGAAATTATTTCGTCTGAAATCCATTAGTGAATTTTTAAAATAAATAAAAAGGTTTAATAATTTTGTCTCTAAATCAGTAAGTGTGACCAACACGCAGGAAGCCATTTTGTACAAAATGTGTTTAAAAAGATCATTTTAGGGTGAGTCTGACATCCTTATTTGTCATAATGAGATTTACAACTAAGCATTTGAACGCTAATTTATCCTCGATTAGTAACAGACTAATTGTAAAATCCACATGGAGTCCCTTTTCTAGATCATAGCAAGATTGAGATCACGCGCATTATTACAACGCAGGCCTCATTTGCGCGTGTCAGGTGCGGAACAAAAGCAGGCGTAATAACAGCAATGAGTTTTCCCTGGTTGAGGTAGGCTAATGATTTCGGGTGCTTTGAAGCAGTTTGGGAATGGGAACTAGCTTGGAAGTTTATAAACTTATTCCGCGTAAAGTTAACAATGCACAACACTGACAAAAGTTTTTCATTTGCAAATTAGTATCTTGTGATGTATAAGTAAATAACTGCAGTTCAGGCTTTCTTTTATTTCTCATAGCTTTTTAAATAAGTTATTTGTCCGACTAAAGTTGACAACAAAACCAATCTTGATTGGTCAAATGATAACTTTAAGAAACAATTATGGAGTAAAATAAGCAATAATAATTCATATTTTAAAAATAAATAGTGTAAATGTAGTAATTTTATATAGTGTCGACACGTTAAATCGTTTGATTTTTTTAAACAAAGGCACCACGTTTACGAAATTGTCTGAAATTGAAATAGTGAATGTGTTCACAAACGTGCACGCGTCCAAAGGTGTATTGAAAATAATAAAGGCTCAAGCATGATTTGTCATCGTATTCCTTTACATTGCAGTGATTTAAAGAGCCTGTATGATTCACACAGAGGGGGCCTGCTTACCTCATGCAGTTTCCCTGCAATCATTGCTTCCCACTCAACTTGTCCACATGCAGTTAAGGAGGACGTTTCTACTTTCGGTTATCTAGCTTTATGAAGGAAGATAAACACTCATACAGCTAGATAACCAAAGACAGCAACTACCTCCTGTCAACACTTTTTAAATGTGGAACATCTCATAAAGTTGACCTGATAAATGAAAACAGGGTTAATGCGCAATAAAATAAATTACACTCAAATTCCATTTAATTGACTCTTTTTATAGACCTGTAAATGCTGTTAACAAGTCAAGTGTTGAAAGGACTTATGAGGTTCTGAATGTGGATTATGTGGTGAAGAAGACATAATCCACATCCACAAGTTGCGGTTTCTGTCTGGATGCGTTTCAAATTGAGCCTTTGGAGTTATTGTCAGGGTTTCCATTCAACAAACCGATTTAAACAGGATTTTGTCCCTGCCTTCCGGTCAGTAATAATCTTTTAAAATGACGATTATTAGGTCTAACCATTTCATTTGGCTCATTAGGCCCCAACAATCACACCACATGTCTACATCATGCATCATTTATGCCGTGCATTATAATTCAGAAACTGCAAAAGGTAAGGCCTTTTTGCAGTTTGATTTCAATCTAAACCCAAATAGTTTATAAAGTTAATATTATATTGTCCTTAACAAGAACGTATTTAAAGCATATCTCAGTTGTTCGGTTAATCACGAAGCTGTTCGAACGTGTCTCCTGAACCCACGTTTCCCCTCACGTAAATGTGACGTCATACAGTTAAATCTATAGCTTATTTAAATTTCTGTTGTTTCTATATAGGCTAATGCAAATTGTCCTGCATTTTTTTAAACAAGTATGCATGCTGCATTGTATTGAAAGACGTTTATAGCCTCACAAAATATAGAGCACATTATACATATAAATATAGTCTAAAGGAGTAGTGCAATAAACAGATAATTCTTTACGAAAACAAAATGCCACTCATTTCACGATCAAGTTATTAAGGGCCAAAGAACTACAAATATTCCAGATATTCTAGATGCACAAAGTCCAGACAGTGTTCAGAGGGCCACATGCACTTACCACTGAACATGGCCTTGTCTGTCACATGGGATGATGGGGTCAGTTATAAGCAATTCATGTCAAATGTTAGGATTATACACACATATATCCATGCATTTTTACAAATATGCATTTAAAGTCAACTTATGGACTACTGTCTATAAGAGTTCTAATTCATTGTGACCAAAACAGTGATTCAAGCTGTACTATGAGTCCATTCACTTTTAAAAATGCACAAAGAGTAAGCAGAAACAATTGAGATAATTCAAAAGTCTTACTTCAAACAATTGACGTACATATTCCTCTCTGTCAGAAAGTAAGCTATGAGTGGCCGTGTGTCGGGGACAAATAGAGGTTCCCGTGCGTCTTGCGTTAAAGAACATGACGCTGAAATCTCTGAGCAGCGCAGACGCAAGCCAAACTCTTCCGTGCATCTCTTCAGTGATGCGTTTTCCGTTCAAAACTCGCAGTCCTTAACTATTCAGCCATCGAATGTTACGTCTCAGCCATCCAGGGATTGGAACGGGCAGTTTAATTTCCAAGATGGGGAATTCCACCCTTGAAAAGCATGCTTACAGTGTTCATGCATGGACGTGAGAGGAGATGCAAGGTTTACTTTATGAAACCTGCACGCGATGTTCTCATCTGGTGGATCTGGTGTTCTCTCTCTCCGGCTTGAGAGAGTCTAGTTTCTGACTAAATGCATCCTCCTCTGGCAGTTCTCTCCTGCAGTGACGTCACTCCAGCAGCAGGCAGCCGAGCGACCAATCACACGCGCGTGCTCCTTGTCTCCCTCTCTCTCTCTCTCTCCCTTTTGCGCGCGCGCGCTTTCCCTGGTATACTGAGTGCGCGCGCGTCAGAGTGTCGCCTATAGGTTCCAGAGTTCCTATAGTAACCTAACCTAAAATGAATTAAGTCATGCCTATAGTTTCAGCATTCCCCTGCAATATTTGCCTTTATGAGTTAGAGGTTTGTGAGTTTTAAGTGAGGAAACTTTGTAAAAGTAGGCTATATCCTTTCAAATATGCGCATATTTACACGATAACTCACTATAGGTAGGCTATATCTTTCTTTGACTGCACTCATACTCTGTTATCATGTGTCGGATTGCTATGTTTCAAAATAAGCTGCCCGAACCGATGACAAAATCCTTGTGTGTGCAAACACACTTGTCCAATAAAGCTGATTTTGGGTCTAAAAAGAAAATGCAAGAGTGTAAGTGCACCGATGCTTTAAAAATAAATCTGATAACCATGTGTAGGTTGTAGAGAATTATATTAATAAGGTGGATTATGGTAATGAGGGACACTTTTTGCAATTGTGACTTGTGTGCCATATTTCCATATACGAACCCAAAACAATATGCTATCAAAATCGTATGCCATTATGAAACCCTATATGCTCCTTTATTAAATCATGAGAATTATTTCAGATACTGTATTCAAAATGAAAATGGCACACATATTAGTGATTCTTGTGGAGTAAATCGTATGAGAATTTGTGGATTTTCTAACAGAGTTTGCGCTGAAATCTTATACGCTGTTAGTAGAAATAGTTTAATTTTTACGAAGCAAACTTGCAAAAACACTCCTGGTTAAATGCGCGTACACATTTGGTTGGTTAATTTAATTGACCTAGTGTTTGCTGTCTTTATCAGTTTGTCTAAAAAACTAGCCTGTTCACATGTGGAATGTTAAATACAACCATATAGCCTTACACAGAAGTTATACTAAAATAATGTATTATAAATATGTCAGATGGCAGCAACAATAATCACCACTGAAGTAAAATTGAAAATAACTTGATAAAAGATTCAAAAACGATTTAAACTTTGGAACATGGAATGTCTTTAAAACTGTTATTTAACTTTTATAATCTGCACATGGTAAGACCATGGAATATGTATTTTCAAAAGCATATGTTAAGCCAATTATAATGATAAAAGCACTTCATAGCAGAAATAAGCAGTTCTTACCAGTCATGGACTTAGGATCCAATGGTCCTCTAGTGTCTAGTCCAAGGTTTTGAATCCTGATCTTAAAACAAATAATATTGCTGCACAAGTCAAATAATTTAACAAAAATAGGCCTACATGGCCTTTAACTTTCCTAAGACACATTTTCACTTCTGAAACAGCCCGAGATGACAGATCACTTCAATATTCTAAACACATTTTAACAATATTCTTGCAACTTTTGATGTACAAATAACTCACTAATATAATTTGATAAATATTTAGAACATAACAAATGTATATCCTTAACATTAATTTAGTCTAAATCCTAGGCTATGGCACTGACCTTTGAATGGTCTTCATTAGAGGTAGGCTATTTACGGTTTGATGATTTTTATGACCACAATTATGGCATTTAGGGAGCGCGTGTGCGGAATATTCAGTTGGAAATTGGTCATAATAACTGTTTCTTGATATCCACCGCATCTTTTTTCTCTGATTGGCCCACTGTCTGCTCTTTTCTAATTTAAAACAAGTTTTAGCCTACATATTTGAAATACTCTCATTCTTTTTCTCTTCATTTTGTTTTAATTAGGCCTCACCTTCTGTATGACATTCTAAGCATTATTCTAATTATTATTAGAGCTACTATTATTATTATTGAAGGTTCTGCGCTTATAGCCTATATAGTTTCGCTTCGAGTTTAAAAGCAATCTTCACTTTACAATTTATTAGAATTACTTTATAATAGGCTACGAAGTACTCAGTAGTCAGTACTCAGTAGGCTATACGTGAAAAATTAATGTGTGCATTTTGTAGGGCTTGAGTGAGAATGTCCATTCTGATAGCGGATAAATGATGTTATTTTCTTGACCCCGCCACACGTTATGAAGGGCGTTTAAGTGAAGAGTCAACTCAGTTCATTCACAAAGGTCAGTTGGGTTAAATGTCCTAAATGTCCTGCGGCTGTGAGAGTCTCTGTTGTCGTGGTGTGTCCTGCACTGCTGCAGCTGAGTGTCACGCAGAGCATCGCTTGACATTATACAGCACAGCCCTATGTTGATTTGAATCTGTAGAGACCTAAACGGGAGTTTAACCAGACAATGAGCCTTTAGTAGGCTATAACATCAGAAGAGCGCATTTCTATCTCGAAGTTCTTGGCTAAAGGGAATGACTAAGAATTCCCCATCTGAGATAGATAATGACCTTGGCCTTGGTTAGGCTACATTTTAAATCACAGTCTCCATGTTAGCTGATAGCTTTATAATAGATAGGCTAGAAAGACTTTTAGGCCTACTGGTTTTAAAATCGTTATTAATATACTTATTGCTGTAGCTAATTGCTTATTAACACGTGATAAGTGGACACTAATGTAAAGTGTTGCAAGCCTTTTATAATCCTGTAGGCTAAAGTTTTACCAACGCGTATCGAAGGACATGTAACGTGTGCAAACTACAGTTTTGACAACAGCGACCCTTAGCGGCGAGTCTTCTCATATTCAAGCGAGTATTATCCATATAGCCTAATTAAGTTTCGGTCTAAATAAATAAAAAATAGGAAACGCTTTATAAGATTTTATAAAGTTGTGTGAGTTCTATGTAGAAATCGTTATTTTCAGTGTTGTTTTAAATTATATTTGAACTTAGATATTTATGCTGCGGCATTGAATTGTCACTAGCCATATATGTATAATGGTTTAACATTGTTTTTCATTTTAGTGACAGGGATAACCAGCCACCCCTGATAAAACAAATAAAAAAATTGGAAATTTTGTATCTAATCATTTCGAATAAAAAGATACAAGCCTTTTGAAATGATAATGTGTTTAGATTGTATTAAACAAATAGGTCTAACATTTTGTAATCTTAAATTTGCCTATAGGCTACCGCTTATACAGTTATGCTATGTCTATTGCTGGATTTTAATGTTAATATTTTTTTGTTTACATTGTAGCCAATGTCAAATGATGTTTATTTAGAATGCACAGTCTAATGTGGAATCATTTAGATAATTTGTTAATACATGCTATCTAATGTCTAACATCTTTAATACATCTACAGAATAAATAAAGAAATAAAGAAAAAAATTTTTGTCTATTTGACTTTTTTTGCCATTGAAGGTCGTTTTTTTTTTTTTTTACACATTTGTAAACTGTTTCATTATCATTCATTTATGCCTATTTACTAGTCCGTGGTCAAAATTCCTCTACTGTCTGTGGTTACAGATTTACATGTGCACTGTACATTTATGAAAAAATATAGAAAATACAACCTCTGAGGACTTTATGAGGATGATCGTTCAAAAACCAAAGCATGTAAAATAAACTTTGGCTACCTGGATAGTTATCAACAATCATAAAAGAATACACAGGCCTCAATAGCCTCATAGGTATTTTCAATTGATCAAATAGGCTTTTTGTCCGTAATGACTTGTCATGTTTCTCTTTTGATAAAACTGATTTGATACCCCAAAATATCACAGAATGGAATATAAGCCTATACAAGCACTACATATATTATACGCAGACTTATTCTCTTCTGTTTTCGAACACTATTTTAAGATCAACTTTCCCATGGAAAAAAACGTCAAAGTGAGTGAAATTCAGACAACACATACAGCGGTCTAGATCAGAAAAGCTTGAAGTGTGGGCTTATACCGCCACCTGGTGGTAATTTACGCACCATCATCTTGTTATTCACCTGTTTTATAATAAATCTAAAGCAAAAGTCTCTTCACACTTCACTTGTTAATATGCCTAATTAAGTGCTCTAATTGAGCAAAATAAGTAGCAGTAGCAGTTAGTGAACTGTACATATGTGGTAAAATTACGACCCCGGCAGGACTCGAACCTGCAATCTTCTGATTCGAAGTCAGACGCCTTATCCATTAGGCCACGAGGCCTGCGAAAACACAGTGCTGTTCACGTCTTATCCCCCAAATGAGGGAACATTGTATCCACCTTATTTTTCAGGTAAGAGCGGCTTCCAGTGTCATTCGCTTCGTTATTTGTAGCTGTACAAAACAGCTCGTTATGCTGCTTGATATTGCAAACTGATATTTCTTACCATATTATTTTAATATAGTGTCTCTTAAACACGCGGGTTTGTAGCGTAAACACTTTTACAGTTTACTGAACTTTGATATATTATTCTCGTCATTTCCCTATAGTGACTAATACATCTAAAGTCTCGAACATCCATAAAAAAAACACCATACTTTCGTGTTGAAAAATTTGTTTTCGACACCGACAGAGGGCGTACGTTTATTTATTTTTAGCATTAAGCATCACTTCCACCGATGGACCAGAGGAGGGCGCACACAGACAAAAGATCACTTGCTTTCAAAACAGGACGTTTGAGTCGTCAAATGTCTCGTCATCCGTCAAATGAGTCTTTTGACTCAAATTCAGGTTTATGTTACTACAAACCAACTTGGCTATCAATGGTTACAACCAGAGAGTAAAAATGAGCAAATACGCTTTTAGCTATCGCGTATAGTCGCTGCGTACAAAGGATACAGATTATAGTTTTAAGCGATTTACACTTCTCTGCTTACGGCGTCACGTTTTACGCCGCTCTAACTGATTTAACACATTTAAAATATGTAATGTACAGTATATTTACATTTATGAGCTCTTTGGACAAAATCACGGGGGCCAGTGACGTGTCTGACTACGGATCAGAAGATTCTAGGTTCGACTCCTGG